TATGGAGGTGTTAAAAATTTACAAGCCATTATTTGGAGGTCCTTTTCAAGTGAAGTTGCTACTTTTCAATTTGCGAAAGCACATTTTTAGAGAAAGGTGTTGTAGGGCAGAAAATAATTCGTCACCCACAAAGCTTCGAAGACGCATCTGAGCTTCATTAAGACTGGAAAGTGAGGATTACGTAGCTCCAACCCAGATATGGCCGTAGGACTCCATTTTTGGTTTGATATGGCTGTTGTAAAGATATAGCATTCAAAGAGGTGTCAGGTACACGGAACCGATTTTTCTAGCATCTTTAGCGATGGGTAGTATGGGTACATTTTCGCCATTTTATATTTTTAATTTCGCGCATGCGCTTTGCTTGTTTTGTTTTTATTTTGTCAACAGCACGGAATAGTAGGGTCAGTTGGACTGTGAAAAAAGAGCAGCATGGCGCAATTCACTCCCCCATAAATTTGGAAACGGTATGCTGTACTGCCTGGAATTCGCGCCGGAAGCTCCAATACCAACATTTCAGAGTATTTGGGGTATCAATCTGAGGACAGTGCTGAGGATTCGAAAAGAGTTGGATGAGTCTAATGGTGATTGAAAAAGTTATTCTGATCATTCTGATAAGAAAAAAAAAACCCCAAAACTTCCAAAAGGTCTCAAACTCAGCACAGAGGCCTACATCAAGTGACTTGAGGAGGAAGGGCTGCTCTGGGTCAAGAGGATGGCTGCTGGAAGACCCTATGTCTGGCAACAAGACTCTGCACCCTGCCACAAAAGCAGGAGTAACCAGTCATGTCAGACAATTTCTGCGGCCACATCACCCCTTATATCTGGCCGACTAACTCCCCAGACTGCAATACCCTTGATTATTATGTATGGGGCATAGTTAAGTGAGAGCGAACAAAACTCCTTTTAACGCCAAAGCAAGGATTATGGCAACATTCACCAAATTAAAGAAGGACCCAGAAGAGATTACCAAGTCGTCTGGAGACCATTGTTGAAGCCAATGGCGAATTTTTTGAATAAATTTACTCTTTAGTATTTCAAGATATTTTTGGTAAATATATCTGTTAAAATAAGTGTTATTTTCATTTTTCTTAATTTTTAGCGACAATTTATCCATCGTACTTCATATTAGGCCTTGAATTAACTTGAGATTCAATAGACGTTCAAGGTATGGAACCTCCCTGAGAGAACATTCATTCATTATGACAACTGAAAATTTAGTGTTTGATTAGTGATGATGGGAATATTACTAGTTTGGTTTTTGAGCTATCGAATATTTGACAGTTGCATTCGGAAAGTCAATTGACTAATTATGAATAAATGACATGTACGATGTTAAATATTAAGTAAACAAAATTCTGTGGGTCTTTCAAGCTCTAAAAAGTTAACAGAGGGTTACTAGTGAGTAAAACGCACCAATTCAAGGCAAATACAGACATAATTAAATCTGTCGAGAAAGGGTCGAGGTAAAGGATTTATTCCGCTATTGAACTACCATAGAAATCCAAGCTTACAAGCAAAATATATCAGAATGCATATTTTTTTAAAATTACACTCGATTACCAAAGAAGCAAATACACGAGATTATTAAATCTCCAGGATGAAAACATTATGAAATCTGATTTGACAAATAAAACAACCAAAAATGAAGAAAGCCTTCTCAGTCTTACCCTCATTTTTTCTTTTTAATTAAGGATATGATTAGCAACATTCCAGGAACATTAGTAAATATCTATGCAGATCATACTAGATTATAGAAACATCTCCAAAACCTCAAAATGATCGGAGCCTTGCAGCTGATCTCTCTCATCTAATTTAGCTGTAACAATTTAATAATGAAAGCAGACCTGAGATATTCTCCCGTCAAAATGAACGGTTGCACTTTTAATAAGATTCTATACTTTGAATGTCTACAGGGTTTCAAGTTCACTCCAGACCTCAAGTTAGTCCTGTCTATGACGATAGACTACATCCGGTAGCAAGGCCTCTGATCGAGAGATTGTAGGTTCTGAGGAACGTGGGACCACCTTATAATTGCTGTTTTTCCCAGGTCTATCCTGAACACCCGGGGTGGGGCTAGCACTCGTTAAGGCCCCAGCTATGGGCTAATAGTGAACCCTTCAAACAAAAATAAAACACTATGGAAGTTAAAAATACATTTTTCATAGTAAAAATACCAGCAATACATTTTTATATAACAGATAACCAAGAATTCATGTTTATAGTAGAATTGCCACCAATACATTTTATCTGTAGTTGAAGGCATACAATTGAGTTCAAATTATTTAGTTAAAGTCATAAAATTGTACTCTATTTTCATTATTCGGACTATTGTCCTAATCTTTGTCGCTATGTTTATCACAACGTTTCGGCTGTTGTACTCTCCGGCCTTCTTCAGGTGATTGGAATGTCGAACTGAACCCTTTATTTCGCTCGACTGTTCTAGTTTCACGTGCTATATCTAATGTATGTCAGTTATCAGTTATCCCCTGTTAATTCACCT